CAGCCTCTGGGATGATGCTTCCTCTTGTCTGTGGATCGACCACGTGTCCTCAGACCATTTGATTTCCAGCAGGCTTCTGTGTGCCAGTCTGCTGCTAGACCACGACTGGAAGAGGGTCACCTGTGTGTGCTTTTTGCCGAAGCAGGCGGCTTTTGATTGTTGGATATTCCACTTGAGTTTCTTGAGCAAGCATGGCCAACAGGCACCAAACTGTTCAGGGCAACTATTGTCAGTTCTAGAACGCTCTTCCATCTGCAAATGTTTAGCAAGTCACTTTTACAGGTACTGGGTCACTGTGTCTTTCAAGCAAGCTGGCCTCCTAATGCATCTTCCCCTCGTGCTCCCACCAGCCGTGTTTCGCTTCCTCAGCATTGGACTCCTGATAGAGAATTTTCAAGGTGATAATATCTTGGGGAGCAGCCTGAATAGTTGCACCTGAAATTGATCCAGATTGATCGCCTGGTCTTTCAAATGCTTTTGGAAAGACCAAAGTCAAAATCTGTTGTCAGACATGCAATAAATTAATATATACTTGAATGCATTCATTGAGTTACGTTGTCTGTTCCTCACACTAGAATCGTTATCTTTGATGATGATTCCTGGCATGTCAGAAAGTGTGCAAGATTATAAAAGACAATATTCTTCCTAGCCCGTACATTTAAAGAATATCATCTAAGAGGTCCTGTGTTTGTGTGCAAGTTTGACGCTACCTCATTGTAACACGACGCTTTGGTTTCGTTTTCCTTAGGAAGCAGTAGTCAGCTCTTGGATTTTGTTCAGCGATGGCTCGGTGACGCCTTTAGACATTTACGATCCCAAGGATTTTTCGGTGACTGTCTCTTCATTGGACGAAATGGTGGTGTCTGTCCAGCCAAACCCTCAGTCCCAATGGCCAGTCGTAGTTGCCGAGGGCGAAGGGCAAGGGCCCCTGATTAAGTTAGAAATGATGATAAGCGAACCTTGTCAGAAGACCAAGAGAAAGAGCATCCTTGCCGTGGGCAAAGGAAACGTCAAGGTCAAATTTGAACCGAGTCTCGATGAGCACCGAGGCGGGACCAATGACATCGAGGGCATCAGCCGGGAATATAAAGACCACCTCAGCAATTCCATAGAGCGGGAAGGGAACCAGGAGAGGGCCGTGCAGGAGTGGGTGCCAGCCGGCCGAGAGCAGGGCACCGACAGACGCACAACCCCGCAGTCTCCCACGGATGGGAAGGACACGAAGGGCCTCAGGGGTGGTGGCCCAGACTCCTTCACCAGCTTCCCCACCCAAGGGAAGTTACCAGCTCCCCACAGTCCCAGTGACCTTACCGTGACCTCAAGGGGGCTGACTGACCTGGAGATTGGCATGTACGCCCTGCTCTGTGTCTTCTGTCTGGCCATCTTGGTCTTCTTAATCAACTGTGTGGCATTCGCTTGGAAATACAGACACAAAAGGTTTGCCGTGAACGAGCAAGGCAACATCCCCCATTCTCACGACTGGGTGTGGCTTGGGAATGAAGTGGAACTTTTGGAGAACCCCGTTGACATCACCCTCCCGTCGGAGGAGTGCACGACCATGATCGACCGGGGGCTGCAGTTCGAGGAGCGGAACTTCCTTCTGAACGGCAATTCCCAGAAGACTTTCCACAGCCAGTTACTCAGGCCCTCGGACTATGTCTACGAGAAAGAAATTAAAACGGAACCCATCAACCCTTCGGGCCCAAAGAGGAAGCGAGTCAAATTTACTTCCTACACCACCATTCTCCCAGAGGACGGAGGCCCATACACCAACTCCATCCTGTTCGACAGCGACGACAACATTAAGTGGGTCTGCCAGGATATGGGACTGGGGGACTCCCAGGACTTTAGAGACTACATGGAAAGACTGCAGGACCAGATGTAAACTCCTTTCTTATGTTTGTATTCACCTTTATGCCTTCTGTTTTCTGAATGGTGGAGCACTGAGATCGATCAGCAATAGGGGGTGACTTAACAAGGCTGAATGTGTGGCTGTCTGGTGGCTACTTGATTTCCCAGCAAGTAGCAGAGGTCAGGAGAGCTCACCTGCCTGGGCTGTAGGTGGGAAATACCTGTAAAACTGATCCTAGGTAGGTAGGTACCGGGGGCAGGAAATTCTAAGACAACCATTTGATATCCTGCCTGGCATGAGCACAGGGCAATGCTAATAACCCTGACCCCACACACAGACAGACAGACAGACAGACGGACATTGTTAGTCACCTCGTGATGAACGGCCGTTTGGAATTAGAAATGATTTGGGTGTTGATTTTTCTATTCCTAAACCTTTTAAAGCACAGTGGACACTTCTTGCCCTTGGCCTGGGATAAGACCCTTGTGAAAGTTACCTGAATGTAGCGTTCCTTGTTCGTTCTGAGCCCCGCTCATTATTTTTGTAGACATTTGCACCTGCATCCGGTTCCTTTGACCTCTGGCATTCCTTTTGAAACACGCAGAGAAGAAATGTCCGTGTTTTCCTCTGAGTTTTCTTCACTGGCATTTGCCATGTGTGTGTTGCACCCTGAGTGTCAGGTTTTCTCCAGGTTTCCAGGGACAGTCACCCCGAAGCTTCTCCTCGCCCTGTGGTTCTCTTCTTTTCCGTGTTGAGCGTTCTCCTAGCAGACATGGACAAGAGGCCGTACCTCGAATATTAATAGACTGCGAGAGAGCACCCTGTCTCTATCCTTTACCTTTCGGGAGCTTGAAAATTTTGGAGAAAAGCCGTAGATCAAAAATTTTATTTTTATCCTCTGCTTGTTGGACATTCATGGGGGAACCCCCAGAGGGGCGGTCCTGAGGGCAAATGTCCCCAAGCAGCTGTGCTGATGCCAGTGCTTAGTGGGCAATACAATAATACAATTTAGGATTCAAACTCGAATCTTAAGAGGAGACTTGACAGATGCAAAAGAGTGATTGCCTGGGAAGATTAACTGCAGACTTAACTTTCCATTTTCCCAGAACAACAACAACAACAAACAGTTTTTTACAAGTAAGTAGAATGACGTTTCAACTTCAGAGCAATGAGAAACCCATCTATACAATCTCCCCGTCCCCACACACACACAGTCCTTAGTCGTGACTCCGGCAGAGATGAAAACCTTCCTAGGGAGCGCACTGGTGGATGAAAGCAACGGGGTTTCTAAAAAATAAATATTCATTAAAAGAAACAACTGTTCCAGAGCGCAAGAAGCAGTTATGAAAAATGACAGCGATCAGAAAATCAAAATGAGAGCGCGAGAGAGAAGGCACCGTCCCTGCATAGTTTTTAAATAGAAAATGTTATTTAAAGAGCAGCATGAGTGGTCTCAAGCGAAGCCAGACTTGCAGAGCAGGGCATGTGACAACACTGTCATGTATTCAGCTGGGGTAGCAAGAAAAGTCAGAACGGGGCCAGGATGCCTTGCGGTGAGCTTGGTAGAGCCGTGTCCCTCTCTGAGAAACCGGGCTTTAGGGAAGCTCTGCCGAGGCCCCCAGATGAGGTTTCATGACCTCAGGTGACTATGAGGGAGCTATTCAAATGTGGGAGGTCAGCGGGTCACTTTTTACAGACTCCCATGAATGGGACACCACAGCACAGCCACCACCCTCTCCCTCAGGATCCCATGGCATTGCCTGCCCCAGAGTTCTCCCCTGTGGGTCTCCTGCCCAGAGAGCACGCCCTGTGTGTCACAGTGCAGGTGTTCCAGGTGAGGTGCGCCTGAGCTCCAGGGGGAGGCCTTCAGCTGGTTCTTCAAATTGGCAGTGACGAACGGAAGTTGGTACGGTTCCAGAAATCTCTCAGTGCGAATGAAGCCCGGAGACCCATGACATTGCCCCCCATAGGGATCTGTAGAGAGAGGAGCCCACCTTGTAGGTTGAGCTCCTTCGGGGGCCTCCCCAAAGTACCCCACCCACTGCTTCCCAAATGGTTTGGTGGCAGGGAGCCTGTGCAGATCTGAACATACGAGGGGGCTTCAAGAAGTTCCCGGGGGAAATTCCATGATCTTTGCCTTCCATTTTTCCGTGAGTTTTCTGAAGCCCGTCAAAATTACCCAAGCTTATCCTGCTCCTTCTTTGTGACCTTCCCCATGGGTCCTCAGCCTCCCAGACAGTGGAGACTTGGTTTTGGAAACCCAGGAAACGGCGGGGTGAGACATACTCAGCAGATGACCTCCTACTGGGGAAGGGAGGCCTGGGGCAGGGTGTTGTTTGATGGGAAGGCGGAAGAGGGCTGTGGAGGCAGCAGATGTGAGCTTTTGCTGTGAAGTGGGTGCATGGCATGGGCGTGATGCAGGATTGTTGGAAGGTGGCCCTGGCTTCTGAGCAGAGCTGGAGGAGACCTCTGCCCTAAGGGCCTCTCCAGTGGGGCCGGCAAGCTCACTCAGAGCCAGAGCCTCTGGGCAGCCAGCAATCTGTATGCACTCACATTACAACTCAGCCCTTTCGAAATGAAACGCAATTGGAAGGTCTGGGGAGCGGGGGCTCCTTTTATCATCACACACACACACACACACACACACACACACACTCTCTGTGTGTGAACACCGACATTGCACGAGAAGCGCATTGACTCTCAGTTACTCTCAGATTGGTCACTGACACGTACACACACACACACACACACACACACACACACACCCTCTGTGTGTGAACACCGAGGAGCTAGCGATTAAGACATTGCACGAGAAGCGCATTGACTCTCAGTTACTCTCAAATTCATCACTGACACGTGCAGCTCCACAGAATCTCACTGATGTTTGATCCGCTCAAAACAATTCCTGCTGACTAGAAACTCAGTTCTCCCACCTTGTTTTCCAACAAGCAACTTGAAACAATAAGCACTTTTCCCTGCCCCAAGTTCCAAACCCCAATGTGGGCACATAGAGGATGAAGCCTGGGAATCCAGTTCCTGGGGGCCATGCATGTGCCTGGGTTATTCCAGATTCTTGTGGCTTGGGGTATCCTCATTCGTGGTCTGAGTCAGTAGTTTGAACTGAATGACATTTATGAAGTCCCTTCTCTGTAAGCATAGAGCATGTGGGCCTTTTGTCCAGGCAGTACCAGTTCCTCTAGGGAACCCCAGGTGGTGAACTTCAGGGGTCCCATGATGAGGGGTTCAGCCTAGACATGGGGACCACATGGCCTGAGCCGCAGGAGACATGAGCTGATGGCTCCCGGGTCTCAGTCTATTTCTTTAGCAGCCCCAGCACAGAGATGGAGAGACACCTGGCATCCGAGAGACCTGGCACTTTCAACACATGGTGCATTGCCTTTGAGAGAAAGCAAGAAGGTCCACTCTCCATGGTCCTCCCCAGAGGAACACCACCTAGCAAGCGCCAGAATGCATTGTGGGTCCCGAGAAGGGAGAATTGGTCCCCTAGCTGTTTTCTATTGCACACTGGCCAGGGTAATTTCCCTGATGATAACCATTCCAGATTTAAAAATCTAGCCAGAGAAGTTTCTGTTTGAGGACACCGATGCAGGGAGAAGTTGACTCTTTTGGTTTGGGTAGATTGTTAGTCTTTTGGTCCCACCTGTACCTTGACAACTTGTAATTGTTGCAAGGGCCACCTTTTGGACAGCATTCTTGCTGAGCTCTGTCAGCATGGTGTCTTCCCAAGATTCCACTGCTGGGACCGTATGCTGTACGGTTGTGATCCTCAGAGAAGAACTAGCCTATCCAATAGCTACAAGCAGAGGGAAGTCTTCCCTGAACCCTCCATGTCACTGGGACCCTTGGGACCACTGAGAGTCATTTTCGACTCTCCTCATCTGAAACATGGCCCCACGTCTCCATTTCAACTCCGTATCGACACAATCAGTGGTATGTACACTCGGCCACCGCCTGTCTCCTCCCTTCAAAGTAGACCTGTAGAATGTCCGCCTATCATCTCTTATGTCCAGGGGCAGAATGAGTGGTGGAAAAGTCAGGCTAAATGATGGATAGCAGATATTTTTGTATGTAACGTAGGCAATACACTGAAACACTACGAGATGTATTGGAACCTGTACATGGTACAGTTAAAGCATGGAAAGCTGTAGCTTTTCAATGTACAGACGTCTCACTCTGTCAGCCACCCGGAGGGGAGACACATCGCCACGCGAACATGGCGAAAGACAGCCACCGGGGGCCTGTGGCCTGGGAAGGATGAGCTCCCGCTGGGATTGTGACGGGAGTGTTCCCATCCCCCTTGCTCTCCGTGGCGTTTGGACTTCTCCTTTTCGTTTTGGGAACTATTTCAGAAGTAAAGTGACTTCGTTTTTGTTTTGGTTTTTTTTTTTCAGCATCAAGGTATATTCTAACCACAGGGTAACTGGTCATTTTTAACATGAAAATAAACATCCAAATATTGTCCTACTGTTCCATTATTTGATCCGATCGACCCTTTTTAGCCTCAGCATCTGCAGGATGTGACTGTGCTTGTGCTTTGCTTTGCAGATAGCGGTTATAGCCCTCTCGATCCAGTAACAAATGCAGTCACTAAGTGGAAGCCCAAAGGCACAGCTCCAGAGAACGTCCCGTGGAAGCCTCCTCGCTGGCCCTCCTAGCAGGCGGGGTACAGCTTCCATCTCATGGCTCAGCAAAGGGGATCCTGTTCTCCCTCAGTCTTTCCATGTTCGTGGTTTGCTGACAGTCCAGTGGTTCTCAACCTTCCTCATGCCGCGGCCCTTTCATACAGTTCCTCGTGTGGTGGTGACCCCCAACCATAACATTATTGTCGTTGCTACTTCACCACTGTCATTTTGCTACTGCTATGAATCGGGTGACCCCTGTGAAAGGATCATTTGACCCCCAAAGGGCTTGCGACCCACAGGTTGAGAACCGCTGGGTTACATGCACATGAGGACGCAGAACAGACCGGGTTCCAGGTACATAAGAGACATCGAAGACCACTGGGATCTGATTTGGGTCTGAGAAGCCAGCGGACCGCTTTCCAGCGAAGAGCAGGTGGGTGTATTCCTTACCATGCTCTTCCTGGAAGTGCTGGTGGTTCTTCATGAGACCACCAGCACAGCCTTTGGCACTGTGTCCCTTGCCAGCGTTTGCTTTTAGGTGAAACAAACACTGCATTCCATCTATTGGGGGCCTTGAAATTCCTCTTGCCTCTTAGTTCATGTCTACATGACACACCCCATAGGTGATGGCAGGTTCCATTGTTCATTTTGAGAAGCGTTAAGAAATACACACGCCTGAAGAATACCTCCTGATTAGGCTCTCTGGGCTAGAGCCTGCTCTGCCGCTGTGGACACTGGCACTTTCTAGCTGAGACTTTACAATCCATGGGCCTGGACGGCCATTGGGAAGACGTCCTCCCAATCCCAAGGAAGCCATAGTGTTTTCAATTTGCCAAACTGGACAAGCCTCATGTGGTGGGCAATGGCTTAGCATTTTCTCCGGCTTTCGTTGCTCTGGGTCAGTTGTCCAGTTGTCCAGTTTTAAGGTCTGCTGGCTTGGGAGATGCTACAGAAGCCGCACCTCGATTTGATATTCCCCCTGAGACGAAGCACTTCACACACACATCGAGAGAGATGGGTGTGACCTTGGCTGCAACACTGCACAAGGCTGGGCCTTCTAACAATTTAAATCACTTGTGCCCTGACACCTCGCTTCACTCCATTGGCCAAAGAGTGCGTGCAACTTCCTATTCCCGTGGCCAGTTTGGAGCCGAAGGACTCAGTTAGACCACAAGTCACTCTGACTCATGGAGCGAAATAAGACACCCACCAAGAGCCCTGGTGGCACAATGATGAAAGCACACGGTGGCACACTGAAAGGTCGGTGGTTCAAATCCACCAGCCTCGCTTCATGAGAGAAAGATGTGCCAATCTGCTCGTGTCAAGATTTGCAGCCTTGGGAATCTAAGGTGCGGCAGTTCTATTCTGTCCGTAGGTCACGGGGACTCAGAATCGACTTCGTGGCCAGAGATTACACGTGCCTGTAAGGTGTGGTACTGCACTGAGTGGGTGTCCTCCCACCCTGTTGGAACCAGGCGAGGCAGTCTCTCTTTCATCCATGCCTCCTCCCACAGAGGGGCCATTCTCCATGCTGGTCCATCTTGTAGACTGGCAAGGGCAACGTTGACATCAGACCTGCATACCCAGCACTGGGAGTTCTCCATATCTCTGCCAGTTTCCATCAGCTCTACTCTCCCCACGGTTGCCCACATCCAGTGAGTTATTCCACAGCTGCCGACACGTGCCACCATTGGCAGGAGCAATGGAAGAACCAGAGCGTGTCCTCTTAGCCCAGACCACCCAGGGACCCCCTGCCATTAGGTGTCCTCTGCTGGGAGTCTTCCCTTGGACTTTCAGTGAGGCCATTAACTTGTAATTCAACGTGGGGCCCCAGAACAGAGTCCAACATTCATCGCAGCTGGGGTTCTAAGCTTGCTGTGCCCATCAATGTGGGTGGCAGGAGACTCCAAAACGATGCCAGAAGACCCGAGTTGAGAGGGTGGGAATGAAGTGGTAAGGAAATGACCAAACCCAAGGGGAAGGAGTGGCTCTAAGGCATGTGGCAGGTGTCCTCCCACACATACCAAGTGCCAGCCAGTGAGTCCATGTTCTTGGAGGCAAGTCATTGTCTACTTGGTAGCAAAGGGTGTTTTTTTTTTTACAACATTGCTTATCTACAATGTTCATTTAAAGTGCATAATGTTCTCTCATCATGTAAGCTCACATCGCAGCCATGAGCACCTGGCCGCAGACCTTTTTCAGACACGTGGATCAGATCTGGGCTGCAGGACGTGCCACCAGGCTTGCACAGCCCAGCTGCTCCACATTCGTTGGGGATTTCAGGGCCGGCCACAAACAAGGTGGGAACAAATTTTTGTCTGGCACTTGGGGACAACAAATGAACAAGCAAACAGCAGGATCCTCTACTCTCCATTTTTCCAAAAGGAATTCTTGTTCAGACAATAGAAACTGAGCATGTCGTTATAACATTGTGCTTCTATCTAACTTTTTTGGCGGGGGTGGAGGTGAGGGTTGGGGGGGTGTTGTATAATGTATCTACCTCATTAGATTGCCCATGTGTGTTAGTCTGGGTACTTTAGAGAAACAAATGCACAGAAATTCGTGTATTAGAGAGAGTTTTATATAAAGGGTAAGTGCACATCAAGAAAACATCCCAACCCAGTGCTGCCCAAGCTCACAAGTCCAACATTAGCCCATATGTCCGACACCAATCCACAAAGTCCTCCTCCATCTCACAAAACATATGCAATGACGCTGACTGCAGGATGAAAGCTGAATCGGTGAGCACGTAAGCATCTCAGTGCTGGCAGGGATCTCCACACGGCTGCTCCAGCACCCAGGGCTGCATCAGGGTAGGTCCATGTGGTTTCTTCTCAGGGATGCCTCACAGGAAGTGAGCCTTGCCAGCTGAAGCAGGGAACTGGCTAAGGCAGCTACACCCTGGTCCGACCATCAGAAAGCAAGAGACCCACGAGAACTTGAAAGGAGAGGCTCACTGAGCCATTTATCTCTCCACCCTTCAATTAACCCCACATGTGTTTATTGGCCAGGTTGGCACAATAAACTAACTCACTCACCATGGTTTTCAGTATAATCTGATGGTTATGTTCTGCAGTATATTGAACATATCTGTAAAGGCACTTCCAAAACTTTTGACAATGAAGAAATAAAATATGTTGGGTGATTCCTTGTGATAGGAGAAGAGTTCATTGGTAGGCTCCAGGAAGTGATCTCTTCTTGACATACATGTTCAAGGAAGGAGATTAAAGAACCCTTAAGAACAGACTGTAGGTGTTGAAGCTGGTCTCTGAGGGAATCTGAAAAAGTAAGGGCTTATATACGTGTGGGAACAACATCTCCAGGCAAAGTGGCTTATGAATGTGCCCTAGTAGAATATTCCGGCAAAACAGGATGCTGTGCCTTCATCTATCCTTTCTCTGAACCTCCCTGTAATTTCTTGAACAAAGACAATGGTGGTCCACTCCAAATTTTAGAGAAAACCTAGAGTCTATCTGTCCCCTTAAGATTTACAAATTACTTTTTAAGGAGGGACGTGCTCTATCAGAGAGTTCTTCCAGCCTGCCAGGAGGAAGGCCACTCACATGATAAACTTTTAGTCCGAGGAAAGCTCCCTTTAGTACTGGAAATCCCAGCTTGTAGCCCTAGTCTTGGAGCGGGTTACATTGAACTCCAGAACAACAAAGACATCTTAAAGGTTGCTTTGCCACCCGGAAGAGGACTCCTGCCACGCCCCTGCTCTTGATAGTCCATTGCTCTAAGGACCGGAGAATGAGGGCTGATCCACACTGGCTCTGAAACTCAGTTTAAGAACAGCAGCCACCTTCCGGGGCAGGGTCCGCCTGGCTGTCTCAGGCAACCGTAGCAACCTTGAGCCAATGGCTGTGCTCCCTGGTCGACTGATCATGATAGAGCTTGAAGGCACCTTCTCAGCCCTGTGTTCGAGGCTCCTCTAGACACAAAAAGTGTTTACAAAACCCGCTCCCTGCATGAGGAGGATCATCACTTTAGCGATTGAGGGTAGCATAGCTGTAAACCACTCTGTACCCCACTCCTTCACACAATGAGGTGGAAAAGAACTCCAGAGGGCAGCATCTCCACAATGGAAGCCGCTTTGGAGCAAGATGAAGGACTGCAGGTGCGTGTCCTCAGGGGCACAGACTCAGACGTGGCCTGAGCTAAACTGGCAGGAGACGCCTTCTTGGTGTCACAGTCCAATCTGGGTTCCAGGAGGATGGACACGGCTTTGGGGGGGAGGGAGGAGTGGAGGGGAGAGAGGACCTCTGGTGGTATAGTGGTTGCGCATTGGGCTGCTATCTGCATGGTCGGCGGTTCGAAACCACCAGTAGGTCTGTAAGAGAAAGACGGGTTTCTACTCCCATAAACAGTCATGGTGGTCTTGGAAACCCACGGGGGTCAGCATTGACTCAATGGAAGGAAGCTTGGGTTTTTGGTTTGGTGCGGGGAGGGTTTCCAAAGCCCTTAAGGTTGCTTTTAATAATCGTTCATCCGTATTTGTGTATAGGGCCTGCAGATAGTCTTGCTTTAAACCTGGGAGAGTCATTAATGGGCATGATGACCATTTATATCCCCAATTTCTTTTTCATAAAATGTAAAGGGTGGGATGGGACTTGTATTTTCGGGGTTTCTCATTTTATTTCTCCAAATATTAAGACCATGTCTGACCTGAGAGCTTTCCAATGTCTCCTTCATCAGGAACCGGGACGTAACTTTGGCTGTTTACAGGTAATGTGTGGTGTCTGCTAACTGGTGAGTAACACCCCTTTCTGTGGGGATTGGGACAGTGGTCAGAGGATTTTGAGAGGAGTGGGGGTGGGATGGAAAGAGAGGGAACCAGAG